AAATCGCCAGGCGCTCTGTTTACAGATTTCAAGACGCGAGCGCCCACTGGCGGGGAAGCTGTGGGCATGCGCAGTGCGTTTTTCACCAGTGTCGAACATATGTACTTCTGATCAAAAGCAAAATACCAGCACGAAACTAAACCTTCTCTACAGGGAACACAGTACAAATACTTCTGCTGACTTCCTTTATTAAAAAAAAAAAAAGAAAGACATCATTGTGACTAGACACAGATTGGCACGGGTTCCGCTTTTGTTAGAACGTTCTACATGTATCGAGTCTAAGGTAGAGACAACTTGACTCTTTTCAAACATTTGAATAGCGCGTCACTATAATAACGCCGCACCAGTTGCCTGGATTTCATTTTCATTCAGTGATTCCAGATATCCCGCCAGCCTTTCCAGCGGTGATCACTGGCAGACAAGGTCCCTGCTAACCGCTGACGCAAACTTGCGGTAACCTATATTGAAAGAGAGAATTCACGCAAGCATGTGACCCAGAATTTTCCATCGTTGAAAACAATAGAGGAAAATTCATTCATAGAAAAGCATTACGCAATGATTATTACATCAAAAAGTATCGGTTTGAAAAGCGGGAGTATTGGAAACACTTTTTCAATCTAGGTTTACTGAACGCACCGGTTATATATTTCTGCTGCATGAATCTAGGCTCGTTTCGTAAACGTTTTTCGTGACAGAGTATGAATAACTGATACGAAATTTGATTGGCCAAAACAACTCCCCCCTACTGCAAGTCCCTTGAAAAAATCATGTACCAATGAACTAAACAGTGCTGTATACTAAGACTCCAACGCCGCGTTGATCTAGTACTAGTACTAGTAAAGCTTTTATTGCTACGGAAATAAAAGAGAGTTGCTTCATTGGAAGCTATCTTGAAGTCAAGACTGCGACTCACTGTTAATGATGGCTGATTCTATTGGTGCTTCTATACATTCTCTGGATGTTGGGTGAGTTGTCAGTCTAATGTCAACTGACTTTATAGTCGTTTATAAAACTGAGAAGGTTGTGAACTGATCGATTGCGCTACATATCTGTACGAATTCTAGAAAATCGTGAGGTAGTATTCCAAGAGTTTGGAAAATTTATGTTTTACATTGTTGTATCTGACTTTAAGAGTGTTCTTGTGCGTTGTCTCATGGCAGCATTTTCGATTGCAAGTCAAGTCTTGCTACACTGTGTCGGAATCTCATCTTTTGGACTTGCATATGTTGTGACTAAGATTTTGATATGGACATTCAGTCCACCAGAAAACCACGAAGCTTAAAACAGCTTGACTAGAAAACTGATTCATTCAAAAATCATATGCTTAATAAACAAACTCTTGAATTTCAATATTTATTTTCATTTTTTTAAAGCTCTAAATCTGCTTTGATGTTTCGGCATACTTTTCTACGAGTCTGCCTTGAATTAATAAATTATTACTAATGTTAAATTGGAAGTATACTACCTTACAAAATCTAATATATTTACTAATATAGTATGAATTACTTAAAGATTTACAAGAAAAATACAATATTGAGAATGCACTCAATCTTTTCACACTTCAAATCTTTCTTATTCGTTGTATTTTCGCACTAAAATGATTTCGTTTTTCATATTTATTCTTCTTTCACAATTAAGCTCATTATATTTTGATAAAAACAATATTAAATTCCCGGTTAAAGTACAGGCTTTCCATTGTTTACTCTTCGAATTGATTTAAATATTCGTCAGTTGAGTTTATTAAAATAGTGCTTTTAATTAAAGCAATGCTAGAGGAATCCCTTACAGTAAATTCTGTACTTAGCTATGTTTATCAAATACAAAGTTGACCGACAATTTATTAAAGAGTACGTAGTCGAAGGATTTTTTAACTTACAGCTACAAAAAATCAAAGGAAATGTTCCATTGTTGACTTAACATTATTTAAAAAGAACCCATTTTAATTTTGCTCATTAATTATAAACGGACTCAAATGAATTTTCTGAGTAATAATTACTTTGTAAACAAAAAAAAATTCACTTTTGTTGATACAAATGTTATATGCACTTTTTTGAAAACATTTTTGAATTCTTTATCCTAGTTCAGTTTGTCAATGATTTTCTTGTGATTTTTTATTTAACTAGCGATCTTCTATTACTTAATCGAAATATCTCCCTTAGTGCCAAATGAAATTCCTAAGAGTACCACATAAAAGATTTAAAGCCATCATCTCCGAAATCTAAAAAAAATATTTTAAAGTTATACTCTGGAAACCTTTTGAATGTCACACTATTAACAAAGGAACCCAATTAARTGCCACATCAGGTTTCGAGTATTTTAAATCTCTCAGAAAATCCATTAAAATGTCATAAATACGCATTTGTTTGATGTGGTATTTCTAAATTACATCAAATATAGATTTTCTAAAATAAAGTGCACCAAATTAAAAACATTACACGTTGAAAATCTGAACTGGCAATGATATTTAAATTTTTCTTTTTTTTTAGTTAAAATATACATAAGATTCACACGACTATTTAGCGAGTGCTCTAATGAAACTATCGCTAGAACACGGCTGTGTGACTGTGGTCACATTGTTGTAAACAGCGTGATTTCTATAATTTTATCCTGCATTAAAAATAATATCAATCTTTCAACAATGCATCAGGCACGAACGAAAACGGAATGGAAATTATTCTAATCCGTCTGAGGTCAAGTTATTTACTGAACACAACACATGGGACATTTTATGTTTAAACTACAATAGAACTGCACTAGTACTAGAATCGGTAATTCTCAGTTTAAAAACATGACTTGTAAAAGCACCAAAGAGGAAAAACATTCACTGTCTTGCATTAACGAAATACGTTCTCGAGCACGGTTCGAGACGTCAGTTTAGCCTGACTTTCCAAACCTATGCACGGGACAAAATAAAGGTCTTCCATTGGACGACCGCATAGAACTTTTCTGAAATACAAAATCATGGTGCATTGCGGTCTAGCTTTAGTAAAAACAACACCAAATTTGGCAACATGAACAAAAGATGTTTGTACCGAATCTAGACCACAATGCAATGCAAACTTCAATCTCAGAAAAGACCTTTTGAATGCTCACTGGAAAAAATCGCGCGCTTTATAAAGGTTTGATGTAAATATGATGTAGGTTTCCAAAAAAATTCTGTAAATTTGACGTAAATGATTTCCATTAAATTTACAGAATTTTGGACTCTTACATCATATTTACAACAAATTTACAACCTTTAAAGCGCGCGATTTTTTCCAGTGGCTGTTTGACCATGTCCCTATAAAAGTCGACGACGAGGACGTTATATTTACTAATTCCCAGCCCTCACTCGTCGTAGACGCTATATATCGTGCACGGTTGATAAGTGCCTTTTGTAGTGTCAGTCCAGTGRGGTTAATAGTGAGTAAATGCTAATAAACCAAGCTCATTGAATCRCATGTCGGCTTTGTTGAATGCGGTCGGTGTCTATAAATGAAGTAATATGTTTTGCACAACCATGGATGTTCTTTCTTTGCTTTGCGGGTTAGTAACGCGACATTGGAATGAAATAATTGTCTGGACCTTATTTCAAAATGGCGGTGGTTTCACCCTACTCAAGGAACAGAGCTACCTTTCTCACCCGCCGAGAAGCGAGTGAAAAATATACCTCTGCTCGCAAAGTAAGTTCATCCGAATCGCTGATAAAAAGCCCTCTGTCAACAAGAATAAAAGATTGCTACTTTCACACATGCATAGAAACATTTTGAGACTTTTTTACTACGACCACCATAAATATTTAGGAATTTTAATTCACATTGTTGCAAATGTTCGTTTATGATTTCATCATTGAACAGTTAAATTGGAGACGGTTTTTCTAAATCGTGATGTTCTCCAATAACAATTCTAGACAAACACGGAAGAAATAGCAAATGACATTAAAGTACAAAGAAAAAATAACATCAAACAAGTTGAGGACTTTAATTGTGCTTTTCCCGGTTAAACATTTCTTAACGTAAACTAATTTTCAATTAAGATGGCGAGAAGTGTTTCTTTTTTCAAACCACGATCATTATCAAAATCTAACAATCTGATGTCAAAAAWCGGATAATCCTAATGATCAGTTYSAGTGGAGAAAAGTTTCAAATGTTCTTTCGAACCACGTTTCCACGCAAAACTCATAAGGGTTTATACGATATTCAAATATCATAAAGATGGAAATCTTCAAATGTCTCGCAGTCCATCTGCTGATCTCTTCGCCTCGAGTGTTCAAATACGAGCTTGGACGAGTTTCAAGATGGCGGCTTTTTTTCTAACCACAATCCTTTGCAAACTCAGCTCAATTCCACGTCCAGATATAATTATTACGACAAAAATCTTGAAAATGCGTTGTAATCCCTCAGTTAATCCTAATMCCTAGTTTGTTTTGAGTGCTCGGATAGGTAAACTAAATGCTTAAAGCCCTARGTTTCAAAATGGCGGCGAAGATTTTTTTTACCATAATCCTTTAGAAGCGTCGTCTTAATGAAATGTTCAAATATCATATTGATAAGAATCTTGAAATGTCTCTTAATCCATATCTTGATCAAAATTGCCGGCTTGCCTCGAGTGTGTTCAAATCACAGCGCTCTACTGAAAGCCGCTTAGAAATAAGATCCAAAATGGCGAAGGATTTTTCACCTGCGCCCGGAATAATCTTATACGGAGTTGTTTGAATATTGATAATGATTTCCATCATTTCCATTTTGATTTCTACAGCTGACTAAAGTTAAAAGAGCTTGATTAGAGATAAACAAATTACTCAGAAAAAAAAAACAAACAAAAAAATATACTAGTTTTCAAAATGGCGTCGTATTTTTTAATTCTTCACTTTGCATTGAAAGCCACATCGTCACATTTAAATACGCTGGAACTAAAATACCACCAAAAATTACAGTAATCTTAAAATGCGTTATAGTCTTAATCCCCCCTTTTTCGCCTCGAGTAGGAAAAAACTGCTGAAAGCTATATTTATAAAACTGACAAGGTTTTAAAATGGCGGCGGATAGTTTTGGATCGACCTAATGCCTAAAAACATCGATAAAGATCACAGCAAAATAAAAAGTCTCGTAATTCATTTACTCCTCTTTATCCCCAGTTCGTTTCGACAAAGTTAAAGTAAACAAATTAACCCTGAAAGCCAAGAGGTTTCAATGACGGATTTTTTTTCATTTTTTTTTTCATTTTTGGCCAAGATCTTCTGCAGTCTTATCTTAATGCGATATGTGTAAATATATATCACAATAATGAAAAACTTTAAATATCGTGTAATCCTTCTGTTTTCCTGGAGTGTTTATGTACATTAAGCTTAAAAGATTGTCCACGTATTTTCTGATAAGACTTGAAAATTTGGACATCAAAAACGACACCTCATGTCATCCGATATCGACATTTATTAAAATGGTCACGTAAACAGTTATTAAAGCCGAGGTAAATAATGTATTTTAATAGCTTAATGGTTTTTTTTTTCATGGTGTAGGCATTAAATGCAATTGATGACAGTWACTGATCTATAAAATATACACTATGAAAATGCACGCAGTTAAAAATGCGACTTCCGTGGATTTTATGGTAACATTCGCCTGATTCAGTTGTTTTAATTGAATATGTGCCGACTTTAATGAAAATTTAGTTTGCAACATAAGTGTCTCGGGAAGGGGGATTTTAATTACTTAAGAATAAAAAAAAAAAAAGAAATCCTTTGAACTAGATTATTTAAACATCTTAGGCAGCCGAAAATACTTGTAATTATTTTATGTCCTTTTGATTAAGAGTGGAATTGCACATTCAAATACTCTCACTTTACAACGGCCATCATCATCATCATCATGTTCCGTCATCATTATCATCATCAACATCTCTCTTATATACAATACAATGACTTATAGAGTACAATAATATGTCAACAGCATCTAGTTGATCGTTTCAAGTAAACAAATCTTTTCTTCGTTAAGAATTGAATGTATAACTCAAGGAAGTCTTATTGCACGAGTTCACTTCATGCCCCGAAGGACACCGTACGACTCGACTTTTGCCGAAGGGAATTGAATCAATGTACTTTTTGTCTCGAATTCTTATTACTAAAACTGTACAATCAAATAACTTAAGCTTTTAATATCGCATTTGTACGTACTTCCAACAGGGCGAGAATTGATTTTTTCTGAGTGTGCCGGATGAATCACTTGTGCGCTTCGTGCTATTTTTAAGTTTTAACTCAAGATGCATAAAAAAACAACATTTCTAGATCCGGAACTGAGACACGTAAGATAACACGGACGATGCAAATAAGGCCTAGAGGCCCACAGTGACGATTACCACATTGGTTTGCATACATTAAAAACACAGAAGATTGAAGTAGATGTAACATTCTAGTGTTGTTAACGAGGCCACTGGCTAAAACGTGGACTAAATCGTCTAAACACTAAAAAAAATGATGGAAGAGTTTAAAGATCCAATCGATCGGTAAGTGCTACGATAATTATCAATAAAACTTCGTTCTTTGGTGGGAATATAAATGCTCCTTTAGTAGTTTAATTAAAGCTTGCGATTGTTTTTTTTTTGTTATTGTTCGTCGATCGCGTTATTTCTAACACGGACAAAAAGCCCCCTAAAAAAGTGCAAATCGTTATATTACAATTGTAGTTCGAGTCTTCCTTTTTGACTTAACTATACTTAAATGTTTTTATAATAATATTTCATGTGTCAGGCACATTTTCACAGCTTGACTCGGCTTAAAGTGGTAAGAGAGGGTGTTTGACTTTGCGGTTTTTGTAATTTAGACCAAAATGGGATTTTAGTTTCCACTTGCTAAGTTTTAAAGTCATTTTCTATTAGTACCAGACAAATCACCACTTCAACAAGATTCCCCTTTTGAGAAACATTCATTCTAATTGTCGAAACAAACATAGCAAAATGCAAAAACCTTATACAAATATATATTAGTTTTTAATCACTTAGAGCGACGCTAATTGTCGTGGTTTTTTTATTAGTTGTTTATGCACAAAATTTATAATAACCTGCAAAGCTTTCACACTTTTATCCATGTCAAAAGCGACTTAATTCAAGCCTTAAACAAAAACAAAATAAGTTGTGTTAGTTCAAAAAGCGTTTGTATTGCACAATCTTCAAAAGCAATATTCCAAACTGGACGCAATACTTGAATCACAATATCTAATTCAAAGTAACAAGTCCACAATATTCATAACATAAGTTTATAATTTAACTGTCCATATTTTGACAATAATGATTGAAAAGCATTTCTAATGCAGCTTTACCACCTGAATTTTAATCCTTCATTGACCCATCTATTATTCGATAATAAGCTTTTTATTTGAGCACAAGAATCCCCAAGCAAAAGCTTCTAGTCTTTTAAAATGCCCATTCCTAATTAAGACGCTTAAACTTGATGCGTTAAGATCTCATTATTAATTTATATCCCACAAAATACAAGTCCAAACTGATGACTGCTAAACAAAAAGCTCACTAGCTATACAATAAGACTTCTAATACAAGGGGCGTTACATTAGATATTGGTTAAGTAAGTTGTCAAGTGTGGTATGACAGCACAAAACTATAATTTTACCAGTTGTAGTAACTTCATTTGTACGATACTGAATTATTCCCGAGTATATAAATTAAACCACTTGATTGTCCTTGTAAAAGCTGAAAGACTATATTATATTATTAGTTCTGAAGTCAAAATGACGCTACATAACCCGGAATTCAATCAGGAAGCACTAATTGCTGTTATCAAACACAGACCATAAACGAAAACATCTTTAAGTATTTAATACATTAATTGAAATGTAAGCCTTTCATTATTCAATGCCGGGTTTTAATGACCACATGTCATTGTGCTCTGAACAGTTTACAATCATTGCATTTATTGGAGTATTTTACTTAATATTTAACTAACATATTCCATTTTTCCGTGCGTCGGTACTCTAATTGATACATCGATAACGTTAAAATGTGACGAGAGCAAAATATAAAACGCCCGCGCGTGTCTCCGTTCTCTTATATAAACACCCTGGGAGACGGAATGCACAAGATAAGTCTAGAAACATGAACACATTGATTGTTTTTTCTTGCTTTTCGAGTGCCTTCCATCTCCCACCATGTTTACGTCAGAGAAAAGAGACAGTCACGGTTGCTTTATATTTCTTTTTCTGCGATCTTTTTCGACCATTTTTGTGAAATAGCTCCATGCTGTAAATCTTATCAAAGTTGTCTAACAATGAATTAATAGTGCAGAAAAAAAAACCCGTACGTTATAACCTCTTTGATATTTCTAGCATTGGAGTTCATTTCAAGCATCTTTAGGCTTTTTACTTCAGGTTTCCTATGCTACCTTATTACGAGCGGGGAYTGGGCTTGTYWAAACACAGGAAACCCAGCTTRAAAACAGTAGRCCAGAAAGGCTTTATGCATAGAAAACGATAAAACAATGATTTGSAGTCAGTCAAATGAATRACAGATAGATCACAATAATGTCATATGACTACAACAGGGTTTTTGTAGTAGCAAACTGGAAATATTTCTATTTTTTGTGGCTAATGCCTCGTGTACACGCTCACACTACATGGGTATCAGCTTGCAAGTACGTCCGTCACAACTTTCGTTTGTCTTTCATTTTTCATCGTCAAGAGAATTAAAAGAACCTGAGGAGCTGCAGCAAAATAGATCAAACTCAAACTGAACATTTTCCGATGTCTACCCGAGAAGTAATTGAAATGATTATATTTGTAAATGATGACACGTCATTGAACCATTAATCGATGATACAGTCTAAACATCACAGATAACTATCTAAACACTGATCCACCCCACCTAGATTACACTGATAGAGAACGCGGTTTAATTAACCAATCTTGATTATCATAATTATCTACAGCTTTGTAATTAAGTTGTGGCTTGTGCGGTTACTGTGAGGCACGATGGGAAGCTATACAGACCTCCGTGGCAAGGAATACATCATGCTCGTCTATAACAACATAATATACCCGGGCATGATTTGCGATAAACGATATCAAAGCTCACATCGCTCAAAGAGAGTTTATCTTGGAGAAAAAAGAATTATCAATGCACATCTCTGAGCCGGAGGAATATGAGATAATGTATATTTTATATAGGAACAGCTTTAGGGCTTCGACTTCATGCGTAATGAGAGAAGGGTGGCCAGTTGTGAGGAGGCCCGCTGCAGCGAATCGTACGAGCTTCAAAACAGAAGACACTTTAATTTTACATTTCCTGATACTTGATAAAAATAAATTCCATAAATAATGTACAGATTTGATATGATTCGCTTTTGTTTTGCCTCAGCTGAAACAGGAACATATTCAATGCGCTACAAAAAATACCGACTTTTTCTTTGTTATGGAAAGAATTGTTCACCTTTTTTAAGTATGTTATTTTAGATCATATCTTTGTGATAACTTAAAAGAGAGAATCGCTATTATTCCTGTATCGACAATGAAACACACAAAGAAACACAGAATGTCTGAAATAGTTTCGGTTCATTTTAAATGTGAATTCTTTCAGATGATATCTCAGTTTTGTGATATTTCAAGAGATAAAGTTCGCTGTTACTCGATTGTTGCGTCTATGCAGTTACAACAAAATTCTTCAAGCATGTTCTAAGACGTTTTTCAGAACATTTTTAGAGTTTCTGATCTGAAATGAACTACTGCAAGAGGTACTGTTGTAGGGGTAGAACATTCACTTACGGATACCTCTATATTACGATCACCTCTATAATACGACCGCCTCTACAAAACGAACGCCTCTATATTACGAACGCCTCTTTAGGATTCTATGTTCAGTGCATTCTCAAGTTAAATTCAAATTCTAAATTTGTCTAAAAAGATCTTAAGTAAATTAATTAAAAAGAAGCCGCTTGAGCCTTTCTTCATAAGTATGCCATAATGAATAATTAACTTGACTAAAAAGGACTTATATGAAGATTTTAATTAACGATGATCGGGGCAAATAGTCGATCTTTGACCCATGTAATTTGTGGTGGTCRTAATTAGATTTGTAATGCATTCGGTTAGAAACTTGATTGAGTGATGTTTGAAAACATATAAAATGAGTGCGCAACATCGAAATATTTAAAGCTATGCTCACACGTAAACATTTTGTAAACYAGCCATTCTATAGGCAAACGCTGGTAGAACCAAAATACAGTAAACGCCCAAAGTATTATTTCATAGGAGTGGTTTCCCCAAACCCGTGAAACAAAGTGTAATCATGTGTGTATTTCACGGTTTACGACTCTAATGATATTAAAAAAGACTGAAACATGTTAGTAGTTCACGCTCGTGGATGATTGTAACTTTCCTTGGTTTAACAAGCTTTTGTAAACTCAATTCCCAACGACGTCAACTCGATCATTTTCTGTCAAAGATTTGTATCGTTATGGGAGTAATCGCTGGTCTCATTAAAGCGCTCTCTTTTGTACACATTTACTGTTAAACTTCTTGAATTGTAAAATTCAAAAACATATTACATATCTGACTACAGTGAATAAATATGTCCACAAAAACAATATATTCTAGTGTCGGCAGAAAGCTGTCTCCCCTTGGGAAGATCTTCTAGAACGACTAGAATTGTACCCATTATTTAATAAAAAGGAAAAACAGAGATTAAACCTAGACAATGTTACTATTAGATATTGTTATTTTTTCAAGGAATACTTATGATCTAGACAGATAAAACATTAAAGCCAAGAGCAAAAATACAAGAGAACCACTCTTTTTCGTTTTACAATCTCTCTTCGAATCTGTGGGAAATTCAATTGTTTAAGGGAAAAGATAAAGAAATGCAGATCTTATATCTTAAACCATGGAGATCTGATCACTCAGTTTTGCTAAAAACTGTGTGGCGTTTGGGAAGAATGAGCTTAAATTATTCGTGCAAATTAAAACAATGGCTAAAGAAAACCGCTTTAACGAGCTGTCACATTTTAGCTAAATCCGGACACGATAATTAAATAGAGAGAAAAAAATTGTCAGTTTATTTACTATTTGTGAAAAAATATATGCGTTTTTACATTCAAATATCGGAAGATCAGACGATCTTGTTTATAAAGATCAATATCGAATCAATTGTATGTTTTGAGATCAGGAACTATGCACAAAAACTAAATGAAATTGTCTAAATATAAACAATATTTTAAAAACTATGTCATTTGATTACTTCAAAAGCACCGATGTAAATTCTAAATATTGATTATCGACACGGGTATGCCGGATATATCTATTTTTCTCTTTTCCCCGCTGATTATGAAAGTTTATCCTAGTTTAAGGTCGCTATAMACTTCCATTCTTGAATGGGTCAGAAAAATATYCGCTAAAGAAATTTTAGAATTAAAACGTCAGCCATTATGAACGATTGAAGACTGCCGCCGCATATCTAATAAAGTTTATTAGAAATTTAATGATAATAACAACAAATCAAATAAATTGATGAAGATGATGACAATGATGACATAGTTGATAGCAATTTGTGAAAATCAACTCCACGCCTCAAAAAATTTGTATGCGATATGCTATAACGCATAACGAGTGTCCGTAACTTTATTGCTATCCCTTATTATCATAATAGTTTTTTTAATAAATCAAATACACGCCGACAATTTTTGACAATAAACACTTYACCTCTAATTATGTGCATTTCTCGGTAACCAGGCAATGATCATGCGCATTGCAAGTGATCTTCGGGTCAAATAAAGGAAACTAATTGTTTCCCCCCGGGGGGTCCTACAAATTCARCTCGRTATCAATACAATAGCACGTCCGTTTTTGCTAATATTTAATATGCACGAAAACACGGACACGACGAGACATTTGATTAGGTTTTGATAAAAGATCTTGGTCAAACGAGYTCAYAAAAGACGCTCGCAAGCTGAAAGGCTTAAGAAGCTCTTTTGACGCGAGCCCACAATGAATACTAAGTACAAGGCTGAGTAGCAGCCCACACCAAAGCAACAAAGAGTCATTTGCAACAACTTCAGCGCCACGTCCAACAACAATGGACAAACTTGCTCGTGTTGGAAGAGCTTTCTACTCATTTTATCATCGTTTCAGGGGCGCTGAGGACAAGATTGACGAAGAGATTTTAGCTTTGGTGGCTGAGAGAGCAGCAAGAAGACGAGCTGCAGTAAAAGAGCGCGAAAAATCGATTGTAAAAGCGCAAAATCGCAACACATGTCTTCTAACGATTAATGTTAGCGGACAACGATTCATGGTTGACAAGGAAATCTTCAGTCGTTTCCCTGGTAAGTAATAAAATCCATATCTAAAAAGAAATTCTTTTTATCGTGAGTAGTTCAAAAGGGACAATTCCGTATCCGACAGCTGAACGAAAGATAAACAAAGTTAAAATAAGCGGGAGATTGTGTTTCCCAGAGATATCAAACTCATTCAAAACCATGGGGAACTTTTCGAGGTTTATATCACATATACCAGCGAGAATGTCCTTTATTAAAAGTTAACCAGTCAAACGAGCCGGACTACGAAATTTACAAACATTCGCAGGCAAGAAGTATACTGAACAAGGGGATTAGCGTTCGCTAGTCGCTTAGCGGAAAACATAACTCCCACGTCAAGATTTCTTGGTGCAAAATATTAAACTCTAGAATAAAAAAAAACATTGGTAGAGAATATATGCTTTAACGCATTGAAAATTTCAGTTTACAGTTTATAAGATTTATATTGAGCTTTCGTGTCGAAATGAATGTTTCAAAACCACCAAGGCTGGAATTAACGCYTTTTGATGAGGAMGAKCTTTCTTTGAACACCTTTTTTAACGTATTATTGTCATTTGAGTTAATTACTAAAAATTCTAAAGACTTCTTTTAAAAAAAAGTACAAATATACATTCATCAGTAATTCTAGATGAACGCTTACTACACAATGAAAACAAAGAATAAATAAGAATACAGAAATACTTAAACTATAGAAAAAACTTTCAAACGCATATGTTTGAGTGACAAGGTGTCAACTCATTCGAGGAAGTAAACACAGAATTCATGGTAAGACAAACAATATAAAAAACGAATACTATAATTAAAGATACAAATGTGCAAAGATAACAAAAAAGAAATCAAGAAAAAAAGAAAGATGGCAAAGAGGAATTAATATTGAAAAAGGAAGAAAAACAGAACACCAATCCTGACAAATTGAAGACAATATAAAACTTAAAATAACAATAACAGATATAAAATTAAAGACTGTCTAACTTGTAAAAATATTAAGCAAAATAAAGGAAAAAATATTCAGTTGAAAATAAACATCTTAAGTTATCTTCAAAACACTCAAAAAACTTCAAAGTCAAAAGTGAGCACTCCACAAACGCTCCTCAAGGTTTTTTTTCTCAGCACAAACCAGATAATTTATATTAGGCGACGGAGAAACGCTTGAAATCGATAAATAACGATGTCAGCATGAAGTAAAGTTAAGAGTTTTACGATATTAGCCTTACAAGAYACAGGTGATCTTTAGCTTGAATGGCAAATATCTTGCGTGATGTGATTGGACCGGACAATTGCGGGGAAATTTGCGGTTTGAAGCCAGTGTATTAGTCCAAAGTATCCTAATTAAAGTCTTCGTTCGACACTGTTTCATTGGAAATATAGAAAAGGTGATATTTAATTACGAAAGACAGCCAATGCTAATGAGTTTATTTRAGAGKTAAGCCCTTAAGCTACTTTAAAGCGTTTTTTCTTTACTAAGATTGATAAAGCACTTTGAGTGAAAAATGAAGAAAAAAGGTGACAAAAATACTATTCAAAATAAAGTATCACTGAACTGTTAGGTTCAGCTTCAACTCGCCCACGTTAATGTATATGATAATAATATACATAAGACAAACAAGAAAAAAACTATTAATATATCAAGCTTGGCTTGAGCAAATGACTCATTCAACACATTAATACGTTAAAAATGCACCAATCAATTGAAACAGAGTATCTTGACCGCTGGGTAAAGCACAGGGGATACTCAGGGAATGCACCTAACCTCACGAAGCCCCCGGCAAAAAAGCGCCATCCCCCATAACCGGGTTACAGCGTACTAACACGTCTCTCATTTATTAATTGCTTAGGATATTTTTCTTTTGTGTTTCAGATACTCTGTTAGGTAGCACAACGCGAGAACGCTTCTTCGACACCAAAAGAAAGGAATACTTCTTCGATCGCGACCCAGAGGTTTTCAAATACATTATAATATTCTATAAAACTGGTAAACTTCACTTCCCGGAGGAAGAATGCGCTTCGTGCTTTGATACCGAATGTCGTTACTTTGGTATTCATACAGAACTTATGACGGAYTGTTGTCATGAGCCTTTCGGCGAACAAAAAGAAGAACTCGAGGATTATTTAAAACGAACTAAACCCATTGAGATACCAGAACAAGATCCAAACCCAACGTTTCAGCAACGACTCCGTCGCTCGATGTGGAAACTCTTCGAGGAGCCAGGAGGGAACATATTTGGTCTAATGATGCACTATATTTCAGCGGTGTTTATTGTAATTAGTGTTGTAAGTTCGGTAGTGGAGACTATACCRTGYGGWATTCAACGATGCGGCCAAAAATACGCAAAACAATTCTACCTTACGGAAGCCGTTTGCGTAACTCTYTTCACCGCAGAATACGTTTCACGTCTTTACGCAGCGCCAAAACGTTGGGAATTCGCTAAGAAGTTTCTAAGTGTCATTGACTTGATAGCTATATTGCCGTTTTACGCGGGACTTATTACGCCGGAAGCATCYGAAGGACCGTTTACGGTGTTACGTGTTTTTAGGATTTTCCGTATMGTGAAAATGTCACGTCAYAGCACCAAAGTACAGCAGGCTGGTAGCTCGTTACGRGAAAGYTTCTCAGAACTCAGTTTYGTGTTTGCGGTGCTGGCSGTAATGATCATAATCTTCTCGTCTGTGATATTYTACGCGGAGAGCAGTTATCARGACACGGACTTTAGCAGTATCCCAGCAACGTTCTGGTATACTATTGTTACTATGACAACCCTAGGGTGAGTAATTTCTGGATGTTTTAACGACATGGATGATGATGATGATGCCGATAATGATGATTATAATTCATTAATTTATTGATATGTTATGTACGTTTTGATTGCCTGGTCTGGTGTGTTTATATATCAGAACCATTAGAATTCAACACAGATTTTAGTGTGTCTGTTCTTTGATTGAAACATCGTGACTAATGAAAAGAGAAGGATTGCGTGACGATATAAAGTGCCGAGCGTGACTATGAAACTATATTCGTTGCATTCAATGTTTATCTGTAGCGCCGGAGTTCTTCTTGCTTAAATTATTGAAAGAATTGTTGGAATAACTAATCTAATGTGCTAACAGAAACTCCTTAATATTATGATTCAAATTTTTAAGCTAATGAAGTAGTTCAAAAGTTTAATGCCATAGCTGTGCCAAAGGAAGAACAGTTTCTAGTCTCGCTCTACTACGTTCTATAGCTCTAAGCGTGAACTCACCTTTAAAATCATCACTCTTATGTAGGAATCACGTTTGTAGTTCAAGTTATTCGAAAGAAGGCGAAAATAACCATCAAAATTTGCTGTAAATGTCCACATATTGCTGATCGATGCAAACTGACTTGTTGTCTAAATACAGCTATGCAGCCAGGCCGCAATCGCATCAACACGAGGCTAAAATTTGCATATGGCGCCAAATTAATATTTACGATTTTGATGTATGATCAAAACGAACTAAATTTAATTCTCGCAATTTAAATTCCACATAAAAAAATATTGCTTATCAAAGRTAATTTGACTGTACTATCTTGTCTTCCAGGTATGGCGATCTAGTACCCGAGAGCATTGTTGGACGTCTGACTGGTGCCCTGTGTTCACTAAGCGGTATCCTGGTAGTGGCTTTGCCTGCACCAGTGCTTGAAAAGAACATGAAAAAAGCGAGAAAAGGCGAAGAGGACGATAGAATACCCCTAACATGGCGAGACAGTGAAACCAACGAAACTGAAGCCACCGAAGAGGCAATACAAACTGAAAATACGACGATAAAAAACGCACAATCTACGTAGTTCAGTTATCGGACGATATAGCTCGTGAAATAGTATTATTGCAACGACGCGGCGATAAAAGAAAACGTTGAAATTATGAAACTTTGAAATATCTCGTTACTCGGTATAAAACTTTGTCATAAAGCAATAACGAATGGCTCTCGGTTGAAGCGCCACGTCTTCTCATATATTCAAGATTCAACAAACCTTTCGATTCATCGTTACTGAATGTAAAACCTTTATTCTCCGCTCTAACTTTCAATGCCGTTTAAACGGAAGCTAACTCTCGTCCAACAAACATTGTAGGTGGGGGAAGGGTGGGCTAGAATTTAATTGGTCAAATTGACCATTTGACAACTCCTTTTTCATTGTCTGATAAACATTGACTCAGTGAAGCTCTTTTGCAAAAATATGACATTTTCTACCATTGTACGTTCTAATCTATTTATCTTGCTTCACTTTGATATTTTGACTCGTAACTTTGATACRTTGGAAGTTGATAACATAATAAAAACCATGGATATTTCTACCAGTGCGTCTTGCGTAATAWAAAACAATTTTGAAGCAATAAACGTATTAATATGTAGCCATCTGTAGCCATTAAATATCTCCMAAATCAATAGCCATTGTTTTATTATAAAATAATTTATTTCACCATTTTCAAGTCAAGCTTCCATTACAGAAATTAAAAGCGTGGAAGATATACAGCAAATACTGGACCAAACATMTACCAAAAACACCCAAAATATATACAATAAACTGTGATAAATTAGATAAAAACACTGTTATAATTTCACACTATTTACAACACAGTATCCTTTTGAATACAAAATGTATAAAACTGATATTGAATTGAAGTCAAACCGCCATAGGTTTTGGACACCGGAATTCCAAGCTGAAAGGCCAGAGTTATGTGAAATAAAATGTTTATTCATTGAGTTGGCAGAGAAGAGCAGTTCCCTTTTCGATCCAGTACGATTGAGGAGAGTCGGTAGGAATATAAACAGCGACAACAAAGTTTGTAGAGTGACCTAAAGAAAAATGAGTCAGTATTTTCTTTCTACTACAAAAAAAATTGCATCGTTATACACACCTGTTGTTGACAAGACACCAGCGCGAACGGACGTTTTGTACAGCGGACATTTGTACAGCGAGGGGTCTGGTACCAAGTTCATTTGCGGTTCCATATGAAGCATGGGTAATGGCTGAGAAAAATAACATTATCATTTATTAGCTGTCCTTAATGTTAAAACGAGCGSCATAAATCCGTGAACACACCTATCTGAGACSGAAGTTGTATAAAACKTAGTTTAAAGCTTACCGGATTCATAATGCCATACTCTGCATCACCRATCAACATYTTCTCGTCGTCCCATCGTGCSCCATCAAAGTAYAAACCATGTACAAGAACGCCRTCTTCAGGGATGTCYAACTCTTCGTCCATTTGTAGATTCTGTCCGTACTCTAGCTTGGACAGAGCTTCAGCYACTTCTTCTTGGTAGCGATATGTTGGTAGAACGTTGTAGCTGAAYGAGAGCTGGTCWATTGGTAGGTTGTATTTTCTTGCGTGGTTTTGTAGTGTTCCAGTTAAGAARCCTGTTGAAAAGAACCAAGTATGWTTAAAAACTTTTGCGCAGGGAGTTTGGCTTCYWATKAAGTATTTTTAGCGTGCGTTTGTACTGTTCTTGATAAGAAATCAAGACTTTTTGGTGTACGTTTTGATGACTTGCTTTTCGTTATTACCTTGAGGAAAGAAAAACCCAGAGATCCAGAATGAATTCGGAGGACCATGTACAATCCATTGCTGTTAAAATAAACCAAGAAATACATTAATCAGCTTACAACAAACACTATTTACTGCCTTTGATGCTTGRATATTGCCATCAATACCCATAGCAACTTTCGGTCGTGCATTCTCCCATCGCCCTGACAACTGTTATTTAAATAACTGTACTTACATCAATAAAAGCACATCGAAGCACTAAGTCTTTAACCCATGATCCTAATGGCTTTAAAGAAGGGTAGGCGGCCGTGGCCCACATTGTAGGCACCTGAGAAATACAACAAATGACAAACATTAGTTCATTAGGTCTTCATTCGTAATAGCCGCCATGATGAATTATATATTTTAATGGAAATTAACTATTTAGCTTACCGTGTTGTTGAGAAAACTCGTGTAGACCATGTCAAGTTCTAGAGACATKACAACTAAACCTTTGATAGCCTTTTGTAGCTGAACAAGCGAGTTCTTGATGACTTTTAGTAGATTATTAAACCGATCAACCTCTTGACCCAGCACTGTAGTCAATGAGTTGTACCGACCTTTATCGTCCGTCTGAAAAACAAAGTATTTGTCTTAAAACAAAGGGTTCTCCACCAAGTTTGTAATCATTAAGACTTCTCCACCAGCATTCAAAGATAAACTGGTTGTTATGATATTACATTAGTTTTTCTGGCTACTGCCTCGAAGAGGTTTAAGACACTATGCTACCAAGTTTGTCTGCGTTCCTCACTAAGCTTCAGTGATTTCCGTTCTATGTTTTATGTTGCAACTTAAATACCACGTACCTCAAAGAGAGATTTTTCAGCCTTCTCCATGTCAAGTACGTCTGGTAGCTTTGACATTATGCTATCTGCCAGCTCGTATACAATCTCGTCATTAGTCTTCTCTCCGCCTGAACTGGCCAATCGAGGCTGGACCTCAAGTACGGTGAAGATGAGTTGGTGAGTTTCTTGTGTCTAGACAAAAATAGAAAAATTAGAACAACCGAACATATGATCAAAAATGTCATGATCGAACACATGATCAAAAATGTCACGATCGAACACATGATCAAAGATGCCATGATCGAACACATGATTAAAGATGTCATGATCGAACATAAGATCAAAGATGTCATGATCGAACACATGATCAAAGATGTCATGATCGAACACATGATKAAAGATGCCATGATCGAACACATGATCAAAGATGTCATGATMGAASRCATGATCAAATAWTCGTRYGTACCTGGAAAGCGATGTTAGCGTTCTCGTGCATGTCAAACACCTCAGGTTCATCACTGATGGGTAGATTYTCGACGTAATCTCTGTAYTCTAAYAGTGCATCTAAGCCAGGAGGATAGTATATACCTACACAACAACAAACATTAATTGTCAGCCTCTAAATATATAATATGGAATCAATATTCATTTAATAAAGTTGTCACATATACACCGGAAAAAGGCAAAAGTCTTCTTCACGGTTCCCTGCTCCATCTTGAACGGTAGCCATGCCTTTGCATCGAAGCGAGACGACCGTTAAGCGTGCAATGATAGAAACCTTCTTTCACACCTACAGACAATTATTCACATCTATCATTGCACGCTCAACGGTCTCGCTTAGATCAGTTAGATGTAAAAGCACGGCTACCTTTCAAGATGGAGYAGGGAACCGTGAAGAAGACTATTATATCTTAATGACATACCTGACTGTGAAAATTTGTAACCATCTCCAAGGATCGCTGGAGAGAAGAATCGACCAAGTATGGTCGATAAACATCGCTGATCCCATTCGTCTGTTACACGGCCACCATATGTAATCTAATGGGAATAAAAAAGTGCTTTATTCGTCCCATCCTTTCATTCATTCATTAATCCGTTCAGCAAATGCTTTAATTACCTGTCCGGTAATGAAGGTCAAGGCATCCCAAGGAATGTGTTCATCAACCAGGAACATTTTAAGGTTTTCCAGCGCACATTCTCGATCGGAATCGTTAAATTCGTACTTGATATTCCAACCCAAAGGACCAAACTTCTTTCTCTCTTGGATAATGGCATGAAAGAAGCATACCCCAAAAACGAGCTTTCGCCATGATACACCTAGAACTAAATGAAACAAAGAAAGCCCACTTTAGCTTACAATAAAACCATCTCTAATCAGCTACCTATCAAATTAAACTGAGCTTATCCGCCAATCAGATTGTTCGTACTATTTAGCTTCTGTTTAATAAAATAACTCTTACTGTGGTTTTCAAAGGTGTCAGCAGTAATCTCTCCAAAAGCTCGTTTCATGTTGGCTCTCAGTCCTTTAGGTGGTTCATTGGTGACCTTCACACTGTTCTGTAGTACCGTGACAGGAAACACCTTGGTCGGCATGGAACTCAGAAACAATCTAAAGTCTTCGTGCAACTCGGCGTCTGGTGCTTGAAGGTTTTTAATAGTTGTTTCCATCGCCAACATCCAAGATGCTGCAAGATGGCAATTCTGGATAMAAAAAACAGCAAACGTTTGATTCAAACAATCAAAATCAGTTTGTCACACAATGACTGTAACGTAATCAGTTGTCACGTAATTAAAGGGTTCTCTACCTGTAGAAAGACCCAGTCACCATTCTTTGAAGCGCTGGCTATCATTTTTTCAGCTACTGGACCTTGACCTTGACCAAGTGATATAGCCTGAATCCTAACGATCATAAACAAAGGTTTATTCCTTCTGTATTGATGAACACTGCAGACTGACAGTACTAAATGGATCCCTCCACAGGAAACTTTTCGAACTCTTTCCTGATAGTAACGATA